AGAGAGAGAGAGAGAGAGAAAGAAAGAAGGCAAGCGAGCGAGCTCTGGCCCAAGTACCATCATCTATCACCTGGGCTTTTAACAGCTTCTTAACTAGAGTACTGGTTTTGTGCTCCATGAAGGAGCTAGAGTGAACCTTTTAAAACTTCAGTGTGATCATGTCACTCATTTGTTTAAAACCTTCCAAATGGCCTCTCATTTCACACAGAACAATTCGAAAGGTCACTAACATAGCATAAAGTCTTACATGATCTGCACACCATTATCCCCAGCTTTTCAGACCCATCCGCTTCCACTTTACTTCTTCTTTGCTTTAGCCACATTAGCATACTTGCTGTTCTCTGAAAAATGTCAAATATACTACCATACCTTAGTACTTGCTATTTCCTCTGCTTATAATGATGTTCTTCAGTCATCCTCTTGGCTCTGTCCCTCACTTCCTTCAAGTCTTTCTTAGATGTCACCTTTCCAGAGAGGACTTCCATGATAATATATGTAAAATAATACCCTATTCTCCCTCCCTTCTCTTGCACTGTAGAGAATTTTAATCACGTAATAGCACCACCTAAAATAGCGAAATACTGTTTCCACAGCTGTAACCTAACCCAAAGGGGCCACTAGATGTCAGAGCCACTGTTCAGAGGAAGCAGCAAAGAATGTTGCTTTCCCCTGCTTCTGATCCACAGATATATCACAAGCATCTAATTTAGGGAATGAAGAATTAGAAGAATCACAATAACATAGCTACAGTAATGGAAACATAACTTGAGTGCATAACTATATAAGATTTCAGACTAGTTTTTATTCTTTCAGTAATTAACTGGCTTACACACATGGCTAATACTAAGTGTACTAGTATGTACTTTCTCTTGGTATTAATTTGTGTTGTCCAATACTGTCGACTATGGCTACTAGCCACTTATGATTACTGCCAACTTGAAATGTGTCTAGCCAGAATTGAAATTTCAAAGATTTATTAAGAACAAAAGAAGGGGCTGCGCATGGTAGCTCATGCCTGTAATCCCAGCACTTTGGAAAGCTGAGGTTCAAGTGATTCTCCAGCCTCAGCCTCCCAAGTAACTGGGATTACAGGCATTCACCACCATACTCTGCTAATTTTGAATTTTTAGTAGAGATGGGGTTTCTCCATGTTGGTCAGGCTGATCTTGAACTCCTAACCTCAGGTGATCCACCCACCTCAGCCTCCTGAAGTTCTGGGATTACAGGTGTGAGCCACCGTGCCAGGCCAAATAATTTTTATAATAAAATCTGGTAGGTTAAAAATAAAATCTCATTTTGGCTTTAATGTACTTCTTACTCTGAGTAAGGTTGAACATTTTTTCACATGTTAAAATATTTTTTTCTGCCAGGTGCGGTGGCTCACGCCTGTAATCCTAGCACTTTGGGAGGTTGAGGTGGGTTGATCACCTGAGGTCAGGAGTTCAAGACCAGCCTGGCCATCATGGTGAAATCCCATCTTTAAAAAAAATGAAATTAAAAAAAGTTATATATATATATATATATATATATATATTTTTTTTTTTTTTTCTATGTGAACTTTACTCATGATTTTTGGCTGTTTTAAAAATTGGGCTATTCATCTTACTCTATCTGTAGGAGCTTTACATTTATTGAAGAACTTTGACCTCTGTCTATTGTATGCATTAATATTTTTCTTTAGTTTGTAGTTTGGTTTTTGGTATTATAATTTTATGGCATTCTGTAAATTTACCAATTTTTCCTTCTGTGTTTTTTTCTTTTTTTCTTTTTGTAGAGACAGAGTCTTCCTATGTTGCCCAGGCTGGTCTCAAACTCCTGGGCTCAAGTAATCCTCCCACACAGGTCTCCAAAGTGATTGGGTATTTTTGGTCATTCTTAGGCCTATTACACCAAAACTATACAAATTTTTCCTACATTTTCTTTAAGAACTTTAATATATTCATATTTAATATTTCACTCATTTGAAGTTTAATTTTCTCAGAAATAAGGTAGAAACCCAACTTAGTGTTTTCTCAGTTTTCTCAATACCATTAATCAGTCTTATCTCCACCTATATGAAATGTCACTTTTTTCACATATCAAATTCCCATATAAATTGAATCTATTCTGATTATCTGGTTTAAGTTTCATCAGTCAGTCTGTGTACCCATACGCCTGTCATACATGTTATTATAGTAGCTTTATAACGTGCATAATATCTGGTGGGGTAGTTCCTTCTTTCCCTTCCCAGAATTTTCTTATCTTTTCATATATCTTTCCTGATAAACTTGAAAATCTATTTGTATATTACCCCAAAACAAACAAACAATATCCTGATAGAATTTACTAAGATCCTTTAAAATATATAGACTGGTAGGAGAGTTGACATCTTTCTTATATATAATCTTCCCATCCAAAAATA